AAAAATGAATTTTGTAGTATTAGTTAGTAGCAGTTGCCAATGGTAAAAGCGCAAGCGCTCGTACTCACCTAGAGAGCCGCTTAAGGAAAATGTTTTGTAAAGTGTGTTTAGCCGTGCTTATATATGTATATGTATACGTACGTGGCATTTTGTTTGCAAATAAAGTATGGCGGAGACACACTGGAGACCAATTACATTTTGTGCACCAAGCGCGAAAACTACTTAAACAACGTTGTCGCCAAAAACGAGAGAGAGAAAATTATTGAAAAATGTGCAGTGTGCCACAATCTAAGAGAAGGAAAAAAGCTGCTAAATTAGGCGGCGATATGCTCATTGTTGGCAAAGCATGCACTTGTTATTACTTAGAGGTAAACTGGCAAAAAAGTAAAAAAAAATACACTTATGGCTGGCCATACACTGCCAACACTGAGACAAACGAATTTTCATACAATACAAGCTACCATGTGACGCGCTAAAAAGAGACAACTGACATAGAGATAGAAAGAGAGAGAGAGAGAGAGAGTGGATGCAACGAGGTTACGGCACGACACTTTACAAATTTTAGTGAAGTGCTTAAGAAAGCATTTTTCTATGCAAACAAAAGCAATATTAAATAAACAAAAAAATGAAATATTTAAGTAAAAAAATTGTTTTGTTGTTGCAGCTGCAGTTAATATTATTTCAGTCTGGTACTGCGATGCAGCCGCCAAGTCAATCAGTTTGTGTATTTATTTCATAAGTACCCAGGCGGAAAATAATTATTAAAACAAACAACGAAGATTTTGTAAGCGGGGCAATACTTTGTTGCCAGCTTATTAGATTTCCAGATTTCCGAAATATCTGTGACCATATTCAATAAATAATCCAGAAGAAACTACTGTTTGTTTTTAATTTTGATTATGTAGATTTTTTATGTTGTCACCGACGAATTTTGCTTATCCTCAGTGTACAATAATAGTTTATTTTCAACTTAGTTATATAGTAAAACTTGAAATTCTTTTCCGAGTTTAGTGTTTTTTTGGAAAACTAAGTCCCAAAGTTGACTTAAGCCATTTTTAAGGAATTATTGCCGATAAAGGTATCATTCTAAGGGCAC